TAATTTGGATTGCACAGAAATAAAATGGATATTCTACGCACACATTGCTATTTATAAATTTTCAATATGCTTTTATCAATTTCACATTTGTCAAGACGCGCTTCCACACTCTATGAAATATTCAAATGGATAGGGAAAAAATTTTGGAATTGTTTTCAAATATTAAATCGTCACAAGTAATGGTTTCTCTCGTGATACCGCCAAAAAATATTCCCGCAATATATTCTTGGCAATTTTTATCTTGCCAAGAAAGGCAACATCTTTCTCTTCTCCTTTGTACATAACGTTGTTTTCTGTCTTTCAAAAAATGAAACCATATTGCCCTAGATTGATCGTTCTTGTGCAGCAGTTGCGGTAAAGAATACTATACATTGTAGTGAAAGAGAGAACGAGAGAAAAATATGATATTAAAAGTACACACACACATGCACACCGGCGAATGACTTAGATTAATCGGCGAAATAATGATATAATTAATTACGTACAATTAGCACAGAACTTCGCTAATGCGGGACTCCTTCCTGCCTGCTATTCTGTTAGACATTTGGTGCGCCATTTGGATGAGAAATGATCTAGAGGAATTATCTCGAGTATTGCAATATGTATTTAAAGATGAAAATTTTTAATATTTAATTTGAAAATATAATAAATAATTCAAACAACTTTAATAATTGTCTAAATTGTTTTTTCGTATTTACAATATATTGAGATAGAAGGACTTTAGTTTTTAATAAAACCGATTATAATTACAAACATGGTATCAATATTATTTTATTCAATTCATAACTACATTCGATAAAAAATAAAATATTCGATATACGAAAATTAATTTTATACCTTATGACAAAAATTGTAATAGTGTATGTGTGTGTGTGTGTGTGCAGTATAACATTTGTCTGTAAATATGTAATTCTGTCTCTTGCGGCATAATAGAATTTTCAATATTAATTTACAATTATAAAAGACTGTTGTATTAACTTTATACACGCCATCTCCTATTGAATAATTATAATTTAGTTTGGAATAATACGTGCTAATTATTAACTGTAAATGTACAGCGGAATAAATATTCGTATGTGACAATTAAATATTGGTATTGGTAAATAATATATAATTTAATAAAATTAACCAAAAAGTAAAAATTTGACCCATGCTAATAATTTTTAATATCACATATAAATTGTGAATAATTATTATTTGAATAAAAATATATCTTAGTTATATACAAGTTATTAAACAAATTATTTTCTCAAAAGCTATAAATAAATGTATCATAACTTTCGATAAAACAGCTTGTGATTTTAATATCAGCCTCTATAAATATAATATCAGTCTCTCAAATTGTTCAGTGATTTTGTTTTTAATCAAATAGATAAAGATTGTTTGAAGAGAAAATATAACATTTCGCATAAAATATATGATATATTTAATATATTTTTATATTTTATAATTTATATATTTATATAACTATTTATATATTCATCAATCAAATAATATAACTATGAAATAGTATATATGTATATATGAAATTGGAACAAATTTGTTAAAAGTAATTGACATTTTTTAAATTAAGAAAAACTAATAGTAATTAAAATTAATATTCTCAAAATATTTATCTTCTCTTGAACAAAAATTATAATCGTATGCTATGTTTTATATTAAAGAGACATGCATAATAACACAAGATAAATAAGAAATGTTTCTTTCCGGTCGACACAATTATCATTTTTCTTCGTCAACATTATACTGACACACATATAATAACGCAACAGGTAATGGTAGCAAAACATGCTCTATTAAATTAGCTGAAAAAGATTTCTGTTTTTCCTATTGCATAGCCGCATTCAATCAAGTTCTTTAATAATGCTACAAAATTGCATACATATCTGAGAATTGCTTCAGTTTCTTTTCTCTGTTTCCGATAACTTTTCGTTTCTCACATCATAGAAGCACGAAACGAGCAAGAAGTGACCTGTATAATTTCTGATTAATCGTTTATACGCAAAAATCTTTTGTTTCTTTTGTTAAAAAATTCTATAGAGCATGGATTTTTAATTGAATATTTTCTGGTTATAGCTATATCTGTATCGAATTTTTATATAATTTTAGGGTGCGCGTGTGTGGAACGATACCATTAATAAATTTTTTAGTGATATTTAATATGTAATAACGTTACCACAAAAAAGCACAAATAGAAAAGTTTTTTTGTAATATGATTTTTTGTCGGAAAAACCGTATGTTTTTAAAGCGATAATTTAAAAAATGGCTTTGTGACATATATAAAATTACGTACAATATGCAAATAAAAAAATATTCATTTGATTTAAAAATTATTAATAAAAGTTTCTAAAGAAAAAAGCAAAAAGATATGTAGAAATTTCTGTATATATCGTAACTCCTAAGTACTTTTTACAAAAACGAAACAATTTTAGAAATATCTGTTTTATTTTAGAGTAAGACTAACAATAAGATATGAATGCATTAATGATATATTTAAAAATTTTTAAGTATAACTATAATATGAAAAAATTGTCAATATGGATGGAACAAACATATTTATGAATAATAGTAAAGAGTATTTTACATACTTGAATCAGATGACTAAAATACACTTACAAAATGTCCTTGCAATTATTAGCTAATTATTTGAGCAATTACATAAAGTTATTAAAATCTTTATTAACTTTTAAATTTTATTTATGACTCGATATTTTTTCTAAACTTTTATTTTAAATAAATAATAAGGGAGCATTTTTCTTTACTGCTATTTTATTAATATTAATTTAACATTAATTTATAGAACAAAAAATGTAGATTAATTACAATATTTTAATTTTTGTTACGTTTAATTATTGAGGAAAATTCATTTACCTTTAAAAAAAGAATCGCGGGATAGATCTGCTCAGCAATGATTCAATAGGCTAAATACACAGATTGTAAATGTAGCCAGGAATTTGTAAAATACCGTACATTCGGGGAATTACTGAAATTACCTTGTCAACTAGTGGATTGGAGAACTGCCGGAGCAGATTCAATTGCGCCTAAAAAAGCAGAGTGGTCTACCGAGAACCCATTTGCACAAAATTCCGATTGCTAGTCCTACAGCTTATGCTACCGTGTAATTTCGAAACATCGAAGACGGTTTAAAACGCCCTTATCCCGCGATATCGCAAACATAATAAGCGAATAATAACTTTGCCCGAAAAAATGAAGTCATTTTACATGATTTCAATTCATAATCGTTTTATTTAGTTATCCAAATAAATTTCCATATAATATTCAGATGCAGCATTTTATTTGTATAGTATAATTGATAAAATACGTGCATACGTATACATGTGTGCGTATTTAATATTTTGCTACGTTAGTTTATCTCTGAGGTACATGAAATTTTTAAAAATATTCAGAGAGAGATATTACAGCTCTTTTCTTTTTTAAAATTATAACATATAGTCTGCATTTTTTGTGATGGACACGCGGAAATTATTTTTGGTTCTACAATTGTCATAAACATATTTTGCCTGCAAATTATTGCGAGTTACAAATTTTCTTATATAATTTAAAAAATAGATAAGTAACTGTTACTGTATATTTAAATTATAACAAAGAAGATATATTTTTTTATATTTTTGTTAAACCAAATTAGTTTTTTACAACATGTAATTCTTTAATTCTGAAAAGATTGACGTGTAGTTAAGAAAAACCAATTAGTCATGAAAGATAATAGATATAAATTTATTTCTCTGTGTTCACATCTAATTAATCATACATCTGTAATTATAAATATTATTGTAATTATTATGCATAGAATCCAATCTAAATTATTTATTTGTAATTGGTGCGTAATTATTTACTCGCTTCGGTTAAAAGCCAATTTAAATGAAATAGATTAGACAAAAACCAACATTGATAACAGTCGAGATTAATTTTGCATTTAATGGGCATTTTACTAAAAAGTGTCCATACCGCGAAAAACATTTTTTTTTTTTTCTAATTATAACGTTGAATAAAAGCATTTGTGTTCTGCATAAATTTAATATAAAAATAATGTAATCTTCTCTCTGCCAAAAAAAAAAATAAAAAAACACACTGGTAAAATACATTTGATTTCCCTCTTCGCAATCCACTTTGCTTACTCACCCTCGTACAGAAAGGCTTATCAACCCACATGCATTTCGAGAGAGGACGGTAATGAAAATGCCTTCGGAATATTTCACGTGCCCCTTTAATACATCAAGGGATGATGTAAAAGGTGGAGGGGAAAGTGAGAACGAGGGAGAAAGGAACGAAGGAAAAACTTGCTGTACAGTCGATGCCGGAACGTAGGTAAAAGGGCAGTAAAAGAATCCTTTTTCCATCCCCCTGTACTCTCTTCGTGGTCTCCTCATTTATAGCCCTTAATTCGTGCGACACGACACCAGTCTGAAGCCTAGCATCTGTCTATCTCCGTGAAATTGCCTTATCGTTGTTACGAGCACATTAAAAAAGGCATTTCATGCTAAGGAAAGTAAACAACAAAACTTGTGACAATATTACTTAACACTCAAAAATATGCCGACAACTTATTGCTTACGTGTCACAAATATGTATATATATAAATTTCTGTATTTTTTTTTACAAGAGAAGCAAAATTATTATACATATAGAAATTGATTTCAATCTTATTTTACGATTTAGATTTAATCCGACTTTATTATATCTTGAATAAATATCTTTTAATAAATTCGAAAAAAATTGGCATGTTTTTAAACCCAACGTATGGCTCGCAAAGCAGGCGAAGCATAAAATTGACGCTAGTCTCAAGCGTTATTTCCCTCGTAGATAATAAATCGCTGCCTTTCTCTCTCTCTCTCTCTCGCTCGCGTCGTATTTTAATTATCAGGTGATCCAGGCCTGCTTAGCAATTCAAATCGCACACGTGACTACACCCTTGACACCGCCGACATGAAGGACCTTGGGTCCAAAACGAAATTGGCGTGCCAGCAACACGTCCGACTTACCGTCCATCCCGGCGGTCGCGCGACGACGATCGACGATTATCCGCGACGGGACGCTCCCAGATCGCGGCGGATCTTGCGCGCGATCGATCCATCGAATCGCGACGTCGCGCGGTGGTCTATGGGGTTCCGCGTCCGCGTTGTCCTGGACTCGGCATATCGGAGTGTACCCGATCCATCGACACCCCTCGACGCAAGTATACCGTCACTTTCGACGTAGTCACCACCCAACGACGTGTCACGCACAGACGTCGTCGACATGATGTCACGCGTACATGGCGAAGCGCTTCTCGTGATCGCTAAAATCGAGCGGACTTTTCGAGAGCAAGAGTGAGGATATGTTCGGGGAATGGAAAAAACGCGAGAAAGTGGGGATGCAACAACCTAACCACGCGACGAGGGAAGACCTCTTCTTCTTCAGTCTGTTTGGATTATCCGCGTCATGCGACGGTGATATACACACAAGAAGCCACGTTAAGCTACGTCATTCAACGTCGGCGGATTGGCTGAGATATTTTGCGACGGCATCGGAAACCCCGGCGACGTCGTAACCGATCTGCGGGACGGCATTCTACCGGCAGAAGCTTATTAAATTCCCCATAGAAACGGCACTTGTGCTCCTTCCTTGGTTCTCTTTCAGGAAACGTTTCCTCGATCTTTCTCGTAGACTCTGTTTACGTATGCTCGATCGCACTCTCTAACTTCTTCTCTTCACAGTTTTGCTCTCTTCTTTTTATATCCTCCCTCTCACGATTAATTCACCGCCGTTCTTTGATCCCTTTTCAATTAAGCGGTAACTGCAGTTTAGGTCCGAACGAACGACGACACCACGGTTAATCCGATCCACCGGATACTTCCGGCTAATTTCGCCCCGTCGTTGGCTCACGTTCGATCGACGTGAAATTTCCTGCCAGGAAATTCGGTCCTTCGCGGAACTATCGAAACTCAGTCCTGACGGTGAAACGCGTGCACGCACGCTGGTCACCGTAAAAGCGTGTCACCGATCGACGAACAATTTTCGGGTCCTTGATCGAATCACCGTTCAGAGACCAGTCGATTCCGATCTATATAGTCCAGTCTTAATATTCGTTCTCGGGATCACTCTACTCGGCACAAACGCGCACGACACACGATGAAATCTCTGAGGGATCCTACAACATCTTTCGAAATCCCGATCGATTCACGAAACGATCATCCAGATTTAGGTCCTGCAACACGTCGCGCGAAAACCAACAGTCGAACCTTCGCAATGCTGCCCGAGATACCTGTGGATTCCGGCGAACGACGATCGAACACGATTGGCGCGATGATCGCCAAGTGTCAAGTGTCTATTGCCGGCTGGTCTCAACGTGGACTGGCGACGTTGTCCAGGAGGTAGCGTCACATCATCGTCGTCGCTGATCTCTCGATCCAGGCAGCACTTTCGAGCCACGTCGTGAAACGTACGGCGAGCGACTGGCTGTCTGCTCGAGTTTCCACACCATCCCAAATGCTCGCGCGCGCTCGAGAGGGGTTGGAGATATGCGAGGGAGGAGAAGAGGGTGTGAGAAAGAGAGGGAGAGGGTGCGAGTGGAAGAGAGAAGGCGCGAGAGGGGACTCCACCCTTTCCCTCACTGCCGGAGCCCTCTCGCGCGCACGCTGCCTGCGACCAACCCCTAATTCTCAGCCCTCCTCCGTCCAGCTCTTCTACTTCTCTTTCCTCTGTCACGGCGCTCGGCCGTTCTCGTCCTTTCCATTCCGTTTCTTTTCTTTCCTCGCGACGTCCTTTTCGCAGTCCTTGCCTGACCGACTCCGCCTAAATATGTTAGCGCAGGTCTTCCTCAGGTTGCTTCTACTCCAGGTAGCTGTAACGACACCGAAGCTTTGATTACGGCGCGTCTGTATCGTGCTATCTGATACTATTAGTGCGCAGGGAATTGCACGTTATAAGAAGACTGTCGGTTGCTTTAATGAGTTCGACTGCTTTTTTTTTTTTTTTTTTTATCGCTGGAGCTTTTCTTTTCACAATCTGGTGGATTCTTCACATGATATTGTGCAAATATTAAGGTTGGGAGAAAGAAAGAAGGTTTTGAAGAAGTTTAATTATTATATTTATTCAAATACAATTTGGAAATTTAACGAAGGAACTTTATTATAACTTCTTACATATATTATATATTTTTATTATTATAAAAATCAAAATAAAATAAAATAAAAAAATTAAATATAAATTGTCGTTTGCCAAAATGTGATTAGTAATTATACAGATCTAGAGGAGTTTATTTTCTATTTTTGATTTAAAATAAAATAAAACTTAGAAATATAACATTTTTGGTATTATTATTGAAGTATTATTAATTTTTAATTATAACTTAAAATTTTCATTTAAAATAAAGAAAAAACGCTTATATATAAGTTTGTGATTATTTCAATGTTATTCATACTCGTAACATGACGTGGAAATTCGTGTACACAGTTTAACATAGAACTAGTGCAACAAAAAATTTGTTGAAAATTTTATTTACATGTACGTGAATATTTTACATTTCTATGTTTCGCAGACATACATATATTTAGCTTATAATATCTCAAGTTTCGAATTTGTCAAAGAAAATAATTACGTCAAAAATAATTTTAATGTTTAATTAACATTACATCTAAATATATTGAAATATATTCCACGCAAATACTAGCTGGAAATTTTGATATTCTGTTCTGCCTTATTAACTAATTAATTAAAGCTAAATTATATTAAATTTATTCTAATAATTAGCATAATGCTCACAACATTGAAATTATGTATTATTACTATGCAGATACTTATCGTATATAATTGTTATTAATCATCCGCGTTATTCTGCAAGTTACAGTTATGATAATAAAGTGTCGTAGTAGCTTAAGCTGCAGCAAAAATCAATAATCTATAGTCATATCCCCTTGATTCGCGATCGCTTGACCTATATAATTTTTTAGCCGTATAATTTTCATAATGGATGAAGTAACATCGACATGCTTGTTTTCTGAACACATCAAATTAACATTATAATCAGTCTTCGTCAGAATTACGTCAATTACAGTTAATATATTAGAATAACGAAAACGGAATATCTTCGTAATTTATGTCAAATAGATGTATCGTGATATATTATACATATATATATTTTAAAAAATTAATTTAACAATATAAATTTGTGATGCCCAGAAAGCGCATGATTCAGTGTCACTTCAACATTATAATTATTGATGAAAAAAAATTGCTTCATACATTTTATCTCTATACACATATAAGCGATATATATTTTTATTAATTGAGAAAATTTTCTTAATTTTGTAATAATAAACAACATCTATTATTCTTAGAAAAAAAAACAAAATAATAATACTATTATATTACGTTTAATAAATACTTTGCAATTTTTATTGTTTTAATTTTGTTACTAGTCCACATTTTACGCGATTTGAGAAAGAAAAAATTGAGACCAAGAAAGAGAGATTCTATTCTTATATATTGATAAAAGTTTATTTTTGTTTATGACAGAATTCGCAATATCGTCATGTGACTGCTCGTCATATTAAAAAGAGTGTTTAAATAACATCAGGTCGAATTCTCTTTTGAATTTCAAATGATACAAGTTCATAAAAGTTGTCTTATAAAAGCCAGAATCCCGCAGGTAGCTGAACGACGTTCAGGAAAAGGGAAATGTCGGTGGGAGAAAGCAAAGAAATTTATAGTTTTCAATTTTCCATCTGTCTGGACACGCAGGACGCAATCGTATATAAGGCATTCTCTCATTTAACTCGTCCAATATGACATGCTTCCTGAAAAAAGATGAAATACGTTCACTCTCTCTTTCACGAAGATTTTTTATCATCAATGATCGATAATCCATAGACTCCCGATAACGTAGTACGATTGTATTGTACATGTCACTGCACAGCAGAAGCAAATGAAACGTATTCGACAATCTTTTAGAGCGTAATAAACTTTTACAAAAGATAGACTAAAATTAATATTTATTTGCATCGAAATGAAAGAGTAATGAATGGTAACGTTACATTTCTATTTGAATAAACAGAAATTTTGCTTGCATTGTTATTGTCCAATTAATATTGTTACTTTTGCCACGTGTTATGTGTTGACATGCGTTTGCATTCTGGGAACGCTTATATTTTATAATTGATATTTTATCATTTTTGCGTTTATTAAAAACGTTCGCATTTTATAACATTCTGTATTTACTTACTTTAAAGAAAAAGTTTCTTACTGACCCCTTTGTTTGGCAACTCCATCGAGGCAGGCACGATGAAAACTGCCTAAATTAGAAAAGAAACTCCCAAGTTCCTTTTTACAAAAGAAGACAATTTTAAAAGATTTATGATCCCTCGTGATTTATCGTGAAATTATAAAATTATAAATTCAGGCACGTGTATAACGTTTTCCATACATGACTCAAAATACAGATGTTTTCCTCAAAACAAGTTTTATATATATGTATGTATCAAATGATTGATTACTTTCTCCAATATCTCTATAGCAATTTTATATGCATCTATTTTTGTCTCACTCTTTCCCAATTTATACATATATATATATATATATATATATATATATATATATATTGGACAATGACAAAGATAAATCGTCATTTAGCAAAACAGATATTGATTAACGGATGAAAGACTGGTAATCCCGACTGCGCCTAATTCTACACAAGAGAACTGATGTAAATAATATATTTACTGTTACAAATTGACATTGATATAATTTGTTTCATCCTACAATGCTGTTCAACATCCCTCAAATGCTATACAATTATGCCAGCAGAAAGGCCATCAGTGTATTTATTTATTTGTCGATACGTCGCGTCGATACGTTGGATTGATTAGCGATTAATCAATTATTACAACGTGTCAAGGCAAGAATCGAATGTAGCACATGTCCATTTGTAAATGCAGATAAATCGGTCGAATTTGTATGATATAATTTTACGCAATTTGGTCGCTCTTCTGTTGGAGAGATTAGCCAGTGAAGTCAATGAAGCAGTGATGCAATGAAACGCAAAATATCCGATATCTTATGATTCAATCATACGAAATAAGCAGATTAGTACGAAAAATCATTTACTGTCATTACGAATAAAATCAATTAGGCAAATTAACCCGTTCGCTATACAATAATCAACATTGATGCACATTTAGCGGTACATTATCTTACACAGAAATCCTACATTTTGCGTCAACATTTGATGATTGCTCATTTACATATCATTGCATACGATACAACGTATTAGATGGATTATACATTCACAAGATCCAATTGGAGCATCAAATGTCCATAGATTGTTTGAGAACGTGTTATAATTAAATTGCTGAAGAATAATAATTAGTAAATTAACAGATGCATTAATTTAAAACAAACGCGTACCGATATTCAAATTATATAAAAATGACGTAAATTTTAAAGAATACATCCGTTTAAACAAATAAATAGTGAATTATGATAAAAAAAAACAAAGGCACAACAAATTTAAATAAACAAATAGTGTTACGAAATAGTTAGTTTCTATAAAATTCTAATTCTTTTTTTATCAAACGAATGAGAAAGCATGAGCAATAAGATATATTTAAGGAGACCAGTAACAGAATGTGTTAATATGCATTATTGCTTACAACTCGGCAGAACTTGATTCACTTGATCTCGAGTCTCACTCCTCAAACATAGAGACGGAAGTCTATTTCAAAGTTACAGTCAGGGTATGCTTTCAATCTGTCGAGAATGATCGAGTTTCAGCGTCGTATACGAACACTAGAGTATATTGTGCCAGCAATTATCCCATGATTGACCGTCTAGATTAATAAAGTTATAATTACTATACGTCGCATGTATTAACGTGTGGACCAGATCAAGCGCCTGGATAAAACGCGATTTACTTCATGCAAGTAATATATAAACGCGTTATATGTGCAATATCGCGACATGGTCATATTAATGCCGAAAAACCAGACACAGATGTAATCATTTGTATTTATTAATGGATTAGATGAATGATAATTGTGACAACTGGCGACAATCACTAAAAGCTCCCGCTTTAATAATATACTTCTTTGAGTTCGTTAATATAGATATATATTCCATTATAATATGGAAAGCCACTGTCAATTCTGCTGTAGATTCTAATTATTGGTACATTTCGTAAGATCTGAAATATTAATTACAATGTTTTCGCATGTATGCTATCTGGAGTAAATTGATGACCAATTTATATAACATCATTTATATGTGGAAGATACATATTATTTAAGATTTTTAAGTTTAATGCAAATTATATTTATAAAATCTCAAATATTTTTTAAGATATAATATCTACACTGAAAAAAAAAACAAAATATTTAGTTCTTATTACATTGATATTTATTTGCACGTATTCGACCGCAAATTTTGTTAAGAGCAATAATTTTTTTCAGTGTAGAGATATTTCATTATTTGATTGAT